TAGGTGCACTAACACTGGCTTAGGTCTTTTTCTAGAATGCAACTTAGGGCCTTCACACTGAGCCACATTCCCAGCCCTTTTTGTAATTTTTGTTTGGAGACAGGCTCTCAGTAAGTCGCTAAACTTCCCAGGGGTGGGCTTGAATTTGCAATCCTCCCGCCTCAGCCTTCCAGAGTGCTGAGATCACACCACATCTGTCTGTATGTTAAGATTTGTTTTCTTTCTTTCTTTCTTTTTTTTTTTTTTTTGGTGTTGAGGGAAAAGCTCTACCACTGAGACACATCCCCAGCCCATTTAGATCTTAAATGACCCCAAAGGCCAGTGTTGCTCCCCAAGGGGGAGATTTTGGGAGGTGGTAGAAACACTGAGAAGCTGGCCTTTGTGCAGTCCCTGGGGTTGTGCCTCCAAAGAGGACTGTGTGACTCCGACCCTTTCCTCTCTCCTCTCTGAACTGCTGTGACTCATGATGTGCTTTTCTTCTGCCACCTACTCCTACCAGCATGTGCCGCTCTCCACAGGCCCAGGGCCCTGGGGCAGCCGCCACAGGCGGGAACCTGTAAAACTTAGAGCCAGCACAAACTTTCTCTTCATAACACGATGGCAGAGAGTACTTTTTATACTAACAGAAAGCTAATTCTGAGCCCCCTTGGAATCTCCATGGTGGAAAAGAAAGAGCATTTATACATTAACAGGATGGCAATTGGTTGGGGTCCCCACATAACATCTGTATGGAAGGGAACAGCAGAAAGACTAGGGATGTCTGCAGGGGTGGAATTTCACACTACCTCTCAAACTCTGAGGAGGACAGGTAGCTAGAGATTAGATCATCGGTGACTGAACCCATCACGCATGCCTGTGTTATGAGAAACCGCCATAAAACCCCCACACTGGGGGTGAGAGAACCTCTGGGTTAAGGAGCCCGTGACAGTGCTGAGAGGGCACTGCTCCCAGAGTGGGCACGGAAGCTCTGTGCCATCTTGCATATGCCCTGAACTGTCTGCCACTTTATGTACTATCCACCTCCATCCTCGATAGCAAACTTGTGGGCATAACTAAAAGGTCTTCTTGAGTTTCCCAAGTCACCATAGCAAACCGTAAAACATAAGAACATTGTAGGAGCCACCAGTTCATAGCCACTTGGCCAGAACTACAAGTGACAACGTGGACGTGTGATTATGTCTAAGCTGGGGCATTCCTGTGGGGCCGAGCCCTTCCCTGCAAAGTCTGCAGCAACTCGAAGCAGCGAGGGTCAGAACTGAGTAGTAGGTCACCCAGCAGTGCCAGAGAATGAGAGGACTGGCTGTAAAGTTCCATGCCTTTGGTGTCAGAAGTGTTCTAATTATAAAATAATTTTCCCTTAGATGCCTTTAGTTTCAAGTTTTGTAGGAAATAGTATCTAGATGCATGCTGTCCTGTTTGTGACTCTTCCACGGTGGTGGACATCATTCATCTGATGATGAGAAAACTTCCTATTATGTGCAGAAAAGGTTACAGATACGCTAACACCATGGAAATGAAATCGTAGCTTCTTTTTGATATGTGTGCCTTTTTTTACTCATTCTCTTACAATTTTTGTTCTTGAATCCTCTGTATTCACCATGAAAAAAGAGAAATCAATTCTTCAATATCAAATTTGACCTGTCAGGGCTCATATAGGCTTCTCATATCTTAATCTGACAGTTGGAAAGGTAAGTTATGCTTTCTCCCAGGATTCTCCTTAAAGTAAATATTAACTTACTTCTTTATGTATCTCCCTCCCTCCCCCTTGAATTCCCCTGTCCTCATTCTCATTCTCCTTAATATTATAATCTCAGCTCATGTTTCTTGCATATATTTCTGTTCATCGAAGTCATTAGGTTCCTGTTCACAGCTTCTCTTCATTCTACACATTTCCCTTTCCTCCCCCTCCCCTTGACCTTGTGTGCCCCTTCACCTTTGCAAGGCATCCACCCCTGTCTCCTTCCTTCCATTCTTTATTGCTCACTTGGTTTATGCTTCCAGGATTTAGCTAGCATGAGCTATATTGCTATAAACTTTGATATGTATGTATCGCTGTGGCACGGTGATTTAAGCTCAATGGGGAAGATATTTAAAAGGGGGGTAGCTGGGTCACATGGAATTTCTAATTTTATTTCTTTGATAAATCTCCATACTGATTTCCACAATGGCTACATTAGTTCACTCTCCCACCAACAACGTAGGAGGGTTCCTCCTTCACCGTAGCCACATCAGCATTTGTTATTTTTTTTTTTTTTTGTATTCCTTAATGATTGCCATTCTTTCTGGTATAAGATGAAGTCTTAAAATTATTTTAATTTGCATTTTTCTAATGGCCAGAAATGTTAAACATTTTTTCATATATTTGTTGCCAATTTATACTTCTTCTTTTGTAAAATGTCTGTTCATTTCATTTACCCATTTCTTGATTGCTCTTTTATTTGAGGTGGTTAAATTATTTTTGAGTTCTTTATATATTCTACCTATTAGTCTTTGGTCTGAGGAATGCCTGACAAAAGTGTTTCCACTCTGTAGGTTGTCTCTTCACTCTGCTACTTGATTATTTTGCCGTACAGTTTTTCAATTTGATGTATTCCCACTTGTTGATATTTGTTGTTATTTCTTGTGTGACTGTGGTTTTGTTCAGAAAATTCTTTCCTACAGCTATAACTTCAAGTGTCTTGCCTGCTGTATCTTCCAGTAGGTTCAGTGTTTCTGTTTTAATATTTATGTCTTTGATACACTTTGATTTTAATTTAGTGCAGGGTGAAGATATGGATCCAATTTAGTCTTCTGCCAGCAGATAACCAGTTTTCCCAGAACCACTTGTTAAATAGTCTATCTTTCTTCCGACCTATGTTTTTGGCCTCTTTGTGGAAGCTCAAATAGCTGAATGTGTCTGGGAATGTACTTATGTGCTTTATTCTTTCCTGATGAGGCATATGTCTGTTTTTGTTCCAGCGCTATGCCATTTTCATCACCATTTTTATCACTAAGCTACACTAGCTGAAAGTCAGGTATTATGAGGTCTTCTTCTTTGCTCTTATTGCCCAAGGTTGTTTTTGCTAGTTTGAGTCTCTTCTGATTCCATATGAATTTTAGAATTGGTTTCTCAAGATTGTCCTCAACTCTCCAATTAAAAGACATAGATTAATAGACTGGATCAAAAAATAGTATCCAACTTTCTGTTCCATTCAAGAAACTCATCTAATCCAAAAAGATATTGACAGACTAAAAATTAAAGTTTGGAAAATAATATTTCATCCATCAGGACCCCCCAAATCGGCAGGGGTACAAATTTTAACCTCTCTTGTACTTTTCTATGGTTGTAGTTAAAGTCATAATTTGTTCTCTATTATCCTACCATTTCAGTAGTCTCAGGAGATCTAAAAAGAATATTTTCAAATTGATTTTTGATTTGCACATGGGATCTACTGCCCAAATTAAGGTAATTCATATTGGGGTTTCTACTCATTTGATAGGTCCCCTGTAATTTTTATATTAGTAAAACTAATTTTTTGGGTTTTGTTTCTTACTATGTATTTCAGGCTGGCCTTGAATTCACTGTGTAACCCAGGCTGGTCCGGTATACATAGCAATCCTTCTCCCTCAGCTTCCCTAGTGCTGGGGTTATAGGCGTGTGTCACCATGCTCAGCTAATACAACTTTTTAAATGCATGCCAAAATCATAGGTTTTCCTTCCTTCATATTTCTCATTACTTATTACAATGTTTTTGTTGTTTTATGTGTAGCATAGTTTCCCCATGAACAGATCTATTTTTAAAGCTTTGCTTTTGCAGGATTACATCTTGATATGTTGCATGTATGTGTTAGAAGTATTAAAATCTCAGACTCAGGGCTACCTTATTCTGATATTTAGTGGAGACATCTAAAGTGATGAAGATCAGTTCTATGTCATTAGCGGCCTCATTTAAGACATCTGGTTCATTATATTATTTTGAAAAGTACTATTGGACTTCCCACTTCGTTACTTTATATGACTACTACTATTGTTGACCTCTGGGTCCCTTGTCAATCTTGTTATTAACTGTGATGAGTCATATTGTCTTGGTATGTCTTCTAGGACCATTTACCTTGTTGCTAATATAGGTTATTTTTAGAGATGGTAAAAAAATATCTTTTAACATCAAGAACCCAATTTGAATATGCCAAATTAATGCGCTGGGTTTCTGTATTTTATTTTTTATGTAATAAGATGTTCCACTAACAATAAGACTCTCTAGGACATTGTCACAAAATGGACCAGACTTACTTTTGGCATTTTTTTTAACACTTAAGAATTTGGGAGAAAGATTTAAAAGTATATAATTTAAAATGTTTAATTCATTTAAAGTTGAACTTTCACCTAAAATTGCCCAAAGTAAATTAACTGTTACAACAGAAAACAGTTTATCAGATGTCATAAAATGGGAGGTAAGATTTTTAGCTAATACCATGACAGTCTTGGTTTCCATGTTTCCCTCTCTATCTGCTATCGTTGTGATTTTGCAAGTATAATAGGAGCCTTCTTCTCTTGTAGAATTCCATTAGTCTTTTTTTGGTTTTTTTTTTTGTTGTTGTTGTTGTTTTGTTTTGTTTTTCCGGTACCAGGAATCGAACTCATGACCTTGCGCTTGCCAGGCAGGCGCTGTGCCGCTGAGCTAAATCCCCAGCCCCTTCCATTAGTCTTTACAACTTAGGCTTTGTTTCTTTGCCTTGTAGATCTGATGCCCGGGAGGGAATCATCTGGAGAGCACAGATATACTAGTTGATACCTGTGGTAAAACTTTTATAAATGCTATGAAGTGAAAATGCTTTGGGGGATTGAAAAATCTTTCCTTTAACTTTTCCATTTTTGCTCCCAGTTATGGAAAATCAAGTTTCTTCAAAGAAAATAATACCAGAAAGCAAATTAAAAGCAATTCATATTTCATTCATACTCAGATAGGGATTTATATAAGCTTTACAGATTACAACTTATCTTCAGTGATAATTTATTTCAGTCCCACACATATTCACTTACTTTTGGTGTTATAAATAAGGCTGAAGTAGAGGAGGTAGAGGCACAAATTCATCGTGAGTTGTTGCTAACTTAGAAAAAAGTAGAATGGTGACATCTGTTGAATAAGGAAAAACTATATATAGGTGATTCCATTGTTGTAAAGGAAGCGCTACAAGATGACAGGCAATTCTTCAGGCATCTATTCGATGTTCTTCTAGTAAGTTCTGTGATGGCGGGGGGAGTTCTAATTGTTTTGTAAAAATACATTAAGATTTGACTCAAAGAAATATCTGACAGCCCCAGCAGTAATCAAGATGACAAGCACTCTACCTGGGGACCTTTAATTCCATGGCTGTCACTCGATGGAAGGAGTTACTTAAAAGAGACAAAGAGCGAATATGTCCAGTCACCTGTCCCATGGCAGTGTCTGCAACAAGAGCTTCCACAGAGCTTTGTAAAGTGCTCGGTGGAACTCTATGAGTTGCACTCCAGGATCACTTAAAGCAGAAGCTGAAGTACTGAGAAGGTATGTGATATTAAGGTGACCTGGCAGGGTGCAGAGCTAGAACTTGGTCCAGTTCTGTTAGTCAACAGAGGGTGTTTTTAGCCATTCCACCAGCATAAAGTAAAATGCCACTATGTCCTGATAATGTCTACGGGTTCACTTACTTGAATTCCTCTGTTTGACTTCAAAAATAAGTGCATTACACCAAAAGAGTATTTATATTTCAAACTTACTCATAGTATTAAGCAAAGAAAACCGTTGTATAAGAAATTCCTTTTTCATGAGCTACAGCTCAGATAAGTGTTCCGCAACGGCTTCTATAAGAAGGTGTGGCCCATGGTGCTGCCATCGAGAGGCAGGTGAAACCTTTAGGAAGCAGAGTCTAGTGGAAGGCCTTTAGGTTATTGGGGGCGTGCCTGTGAAGGGGATTGTGCCACCCTGTCTCTTCTTTGCATACCGGATCATAAAGTGAGTCATGTTCCCTCCCCTGCCCCCCCCGCTGCTATTACCACCTGGCACCAGCCCAATCCCGGGCGTCAGCCTGATATTGCACTAGAATCTCCAGAACTGTGAGCTAAGCAGCCTCTTCTGTTATACACTGGTTGTCTCCATTACTTCATTTAATGATGGAAAACGAACATCATTTTAATAACTTACCCCAGAACAGGCAGCGAGGCTACCAGGGAGCCCCATTTCCATTCAAGGTAATCACGAGGCCTCCTTCTGTTCGGAGTCCAAATTCCTGACAGTTCAATTTTGAAGCATCTGTTCCAACTGCTCACACAGCTACTTAATAGTGACGCATGAATTTAAAATAAAATGTAACAGCCATGACATAAGTTTAGTAAGATATGCAATTATTTCTTAATTAATTGAAAGTATGGTAAATTTACTCAGTCAGAAAAGTGCAAATCAATTCAAGTTTATTTTCTGCTCAAATCACTGTACTAGGTTTACATTTAGATTATCATATTTTATATCCAGTACCTTTAAATCCTGCATTGCAAATATGTTTAAAACCTAGGAATATACTGTAACTTATTCCTTCAACTCATCAATGTCATGCTAGTTAATTTTTTACTTTTCCTAAATCTAGAAATTAATCAAACATTACCTTTATTTATTTCTTTGCCTGTTTGGTGTCAAGTAACTGTCACTTGCCCTATAGTAAATGTTATGGTGCACATTTTTCAATTAAATATAAATAAAAGTATTGTTTATATTACATAACAAAACTTTCCCCCAAACAGGAAATTTGAGGAAACATTTTAGGGGGCACAGTTTTATCTGGTAAGTTTAAATCTTTGGATTTAAAAATCTTTAGACTTACCCCTTTGTTCTTACCACATTCTGAAATTCTGGGAGTCCTCTTCTGAGCACCTTTAGTTGTGCTGTCTTAGCTGCCTTGATGCCCTGAATCAACTCAAAACGTTGGTCTTTCACGGTCACTCTGACTTTGGGAAAGAGCCAGATGTCATATAGTGACAGATTTTGGAAAAGGTAAAGGGGACACATGGTAGTGCTTTTATTTGACAAAAACTGCCTAAATGCTTGAATAATGTGAATGATCAAAAATATGGTGAATGTTTAAATTGTTTTAAAAGATATTACCATAAAAGACAAATTGCCATTCATTCTCATCAAAAAAACACCTGCTCACTTCAAACACACTAATCTCATTATCCCTATAAATATATATTTTATTGTAATAATTTCTTTTAATTTTAAACATTTATTTTATTTTTCAATCACCCATTGTGTGTGCCTACATGTCTGTTCAACATAGCTGCAGTAGAGCTGAAATTATGCAAGGTACCCTATTGACTAGTATAAATTATTCACTATTGCTATTGGCAGGATTGCTTGACAAACATTAACTGTGCTTCTTCCATTGTAGGAAATTTCCATTGGTATTTTCTTTTTAAACTAGTTGCTTTACTAGCATATTAATTGAATAGAACTACATTAATGAGCTGTAACATGAATAAAGAAGTTGTTTCCAGGTGTCTGTGTGTGCTAGTATTCTGGTCATGACTACTGTGACCTCACATGTGTATTTCCCATGTGCCATGTATATACCTCACATGTGTATCTCCTATGCATCTCCATGTCTTACTGACCTAGACTTTGTCAAATAAAATAGAGCAGGCTTATTTGCCATACCTGAGCAGAAACTTTATATCAGAAGTTGGTAAAGAATGCAGTGTTCTGTGAGTGGCGACAGCAGTTTCATCTGCATGGGGTGTGCTGTCTTTTTTAACCACAGCTTTACTTTGACACTGTAACACATTGGAAGCCATAGATAAAGCAAAACAAATTTAAAAAAAAAAAAGGACATGCTCTATCCTAATAAACCTTAATTTACAAAAGCAACTGGAATAAATGATGGATTGAATTTGCACATGGAAAGCACTTTGCTGACTTGTCAATACTGCAGGATTCAGCTTGTTGATTTTTCAGTTTCTACCTTTCACTAGGAGAGAAGCAAACTATAGCAGGAGCTAATTGTTGACATCCATCCTGAAAAGACACAAGAGGAAGGTGAGCCCAGCCCAGCCAAGCCAAGCAGATCTTAGCAGAGCCACCACCCTCCTCTAACAAGAGTCATAAGTAAGCATAGCTAAGATCTGGGGATTGTTTCTTACAATAGCGAAAGTCAACAAATGTATCCCTTTATTCTTGTTTTCTGCATGCATGCGGACTTTACCAGCCTCACAAACTCTCAGACTCTTTTGAAGCCCTAGCTTCACACAGGTACAATGCAACTCCATGTTCTCTCAACTGCAACACTTATTTTGCTCTAGGAATTTTATAGTGTGAGATTTTGTGTTTAGATCGTTGATCCATTTTTAGTTAACTTTAGTATGCAGTGTAAAGTAAGGGTCCAATTTTATTCTTTTACATGCTCACATCCAGTTTAAGAATACTTTAAGAAACTATTATTTTCCCATTTTTATGGTCCTCATGTCTTTGTCAGAAAACACTTGACCATATATGTTACAGTTTATTTTGAGAATCTTTATAATAGTCCATCAGTCGGCATATTTTTATGCCAACCCCACAACTGTGCCCATTATGGTAGCATTATAATAGGTTTGGAAATCAAGAATACTTGGAAAATTTGGAATAACATGAGATTTTGAATCTTAGGATATATTTTTCAGTGTCAGTGGGATTTTGATAGGAATTGCATTAAACATGCAGATCACATAGGACAGTATTGATATTTAAAAGTAGCAAGTGCTCCAGTCTATGATCATAGGATGCCTGTCTATTTTGGGGAGTCCTCTTTAATCTCTGTCATTAAAAGCTTGTAGTTTTTAGTGTATCATCCTTTGTCTGCTTAGTTAACTGCATTATAAGTATTCTATTTTGTATGCCATTATACATGGAATTATTTTCTTCCTTTTCCAATTGCTTACTGTTGATGTATATAAATGCCACTAAATTTTCCTGCTTTGATTTTGTATCTCACAAATTTGTTGACTTAATTTATTAGTTCTAGCAGTTTGGGGCTCTCAAATGAAATCTTGAAGGTTTTCTATGCACAAGACTCTGTCATCCGCAAACAGAGATAATTTACTTCTTCCTTTCAATTTTAGATGCCTCTTTTTTTCTTTTTTCTTGCCTACTTGTTCTGACCAGAGGTTCAGGTATTATTCTGAATAGAGACAACAAAGGCCAACATCTTGTCTTTTTCTTTGTTTTGGAGGAAATGCATTCAGACTTTCATCACTGAGTACAATGTTTCCTGTGAACATTCAAATATGATCTTCTTCCTGTTGAAGTAGTTTCCCCCCTTTTGAGTGGTTATACTACAAACTAGTGTAGCACTGAACTTTTTAAAATGTTCTTCCTATCTCAACTGAGAAGCTTTTAAAGAGGTTACCCTCCCTTTGGTTAATGCAGAATATTATACTTTTTCATGCACTGACCTGTCCTGGTCTTCCCAAGGTAAATCCCGCCTGATGATAGCACAGATCCTTTTAATGTACTGTTACATTTAAGTACACACAATTTCTGACTTAGATTTTACTTCACAGTGGTCTGCAAGAGATAGATATTCAGCAGAAAATGTATCTCAATTTCGAAATACTGACTGGGAAAGGCAATGCAGAGCATATTACTGTCTCACAGTGCTGCTCAGGGGCTGCACTTTCCAGTCAGCCACATCATCTGAAGAGTAAAAGACCTGCTACTCTATGTGGGTTCTGGTACTAAGTCCTGATGTTTACCAGGTTGGGTTTATTAAATGCATTTCCACTTGTAATATTTTCAACTACAATAGATTTATCGGGGCATCTGAGGGTTATTGCATCAAAAATAATTTTCTTAAAGTTCCTTTGTCTGGCTTAGTGATGACCTCATAGGGTGGCTTTGGAGATTTTCCCTGAAGTTTTGGAAAAGTTTAAGAATTGCTGTTAACGCTTCTTTAAATGCTTTGCAGAACTTGTTTGTTGGACTCACGATGCTTTTCTTTGTTGGTATTTGCATTTGTTTGGGTTTGTTTTGTTTTGCTTAGTTTTGCTTAGTTTTCTTTTGTTTTGCTTTTTGGTGGTGGTATTGGGGTTTTGAATTAAGGGCCTGCACACTGAGGTGCATCCTCAGCCCTTTTGTATTTTTTATCTTGAGACAGGGTCTCACTAAGTCACTAAGTTGCCCAAGCTAGGCTCAAACTTGTGATCCTCCTGCCTCAGCCTTCCAGAGTTCTGGGATTGCAGACCTGCATCACCATGCCTGGCTTTGTTGGGGATGTTTCATTACTGATTTAGTCATCTTACCAGTTATAGGGCTGATTATATTTTCTATTTCTTTATAACTCAGTCATTATTTTGGCAGGGTGTGCTTCTAGATGATATATTTCATCTATCACCAAAATTGTTGACACACAGTAGTTCATGCTACTCTTATAATCCTTTTTATTTTGCAAAATTGTTTGTACTTTACCCTCTTTTATTTTTGATTTTAGTTTTTTGGATTCTCCCGTTTTTTCTTAATTAATCTAGAAAAAAAGTTGACAATTTCATTGTTCTTGTTGAAGAAACTATTCTTGGTTTTATTGATTATTATGTTTTTCTTACCAAAGTGTAATTGTCCTCTGCAATGGAGAAGCTAATATTCAGAGATTATTTGACAAGATGAGCATGAAGAAACTGATTTTATAGTTTCAATTTTAAAATGAGTTGTAGTGATTGGAGCAAATACACTAAGGAAAGACCATGAAATAACAGCACGAACCAGCAAGAATACTAACTAGAATAGGTAAACAAAGTTTCTGTGCAGAATTATTTCAACTTGCAATTCATGTAGCGGAGAAAATTACTTACATATACTAAATAAATGCTTATCAAATATTTATATATTACTGCACTTTTTCCACAAATATTATCTTACATTTTCTCACATACTTTGATTAAATTTCACATCTCTTCTCTCATTTTATTGCAGCTCTATGAAGAATCTCAGATCTTTATTACTATCATCACTGTCCTGAAGAAAATATATACATACTTGTTAGTTGCGTTAAAGAACACATATGTTTATAAATTCATCCAACAAGCAGTTAATCTGACATCTACTATTGGTCTATTATTATTGAATGGAACACAATTTTATTTATAGCACCCTGTTCCATTTTACTTGGTGTATTTAGTCCTTACGCTCACCATATATTTATCACTAATTAATACTAATCACTAATTAATACTAATATTGCTTCTGTGTGATCAACCCATCCAAGAGATCTTACTATAGTTTGTTGGCTCTATACTATGCATTAAAAACCATAACAAGACAAACGCTGGGCTTGCCTACAGTGACCTCTTACCATAGTGAAGAACACAGTTATTACACATCTACTGTGCTTATACATTTTACAATAAAAGGAGGGTGGAAGTTTTGTGTGAGTCCTTAAAATGAATTCTAGATTTTAAAAAGGGACTGGGAACAAATAAATTTTAGCCTTCACTGGGCTGGTGAATAAAATCTAGCCATGTGAAGCATAAAAAGAAATATTGTAGGGTGAGGAGTATTCTGGGAAGAGGGAAGCAAGAGTTTGAAATAATAGAAGAGTCGAAGTGGCTGGAAGTACAGGATTGGGAGACGCCTTAGAAGAGGGAGGGAGGGGACAGAGACAGCGCAGCAGCGCTTGAGAAGCATCTCAAGAAACAGATTCCAGGGAACAGAAAGCCTCTGAAGGCAACTGCCAAACAGCAGCCCCGGATTCGCTAAACTCACTCAGCTGATGAATGAAGGAGAAAGCCAAGAACCGTGGGGCTCAAGCCTGAGAGATTTTAGAACAGAGTAACTTTGTGTTCCCATTGTTCAGTTGATCCATTGTCATTTTTAGGATGTTTTCTGAGTTGTTTGACTCTTGTATGTTTCCATTTTCTTATCTGCAAATTACAGATAACAACAATGCTTTTTTATAAGGCGTCT